GAGCTGTGTTATTTAAATCTGAACTAATTACGCCCGGCCGGCATGGCTCAGTGGTTGAGCGTTGACCTATGAACTGGGAGATCACGGTTCGATTCCCGGTCAGGGCACACGCCCGAGGTGAGGGCTCAATCCCCAGTGTGGAGCATACAGTAAGCAACTGATGAATGATTCTCTCTCATCATTGACGTTTCTATCTCTTTCTCCCTCTCCCTTCTTCTCTGAAATCAATTTAAAAATACATAATAAATAAATAAATTTGAACTAATTAAAATTATGTACAATCAAACGTCAGCTCCTCAATCACACTGACCACATTTCAGATGCCCAGTGGCCACCTGTGTACACCGGACAGTGCAGCTCTGGATCATGCCACCCTCACAGAAAGTGCTGTGGGGCAGCGGAGCTCCGGAACACTCAATGCCTACCCACTCTGCCCGGCTTCCTGCACCTTTCCCAACCCGTCCCCTCCCCCTGCTGCGGAAGACACTGGCCTCGGGGCTGCTGCCTGCTGCTTGGCTGACGTGGCCGCAGGCTGGTCTTGCATGTACAGCCCACTGAGTCGAGGCCCAAGATGTTCACACCCTGAGCCCTGGGACCTGTGCGACTTGACCTGGCAGAGGGGCTTTGCAGGTGTGATTCCGTGAGTGACTTTGAGGTGACAGAGTGTCCTGGGTGTCTGGCCGGTCCAATGTCATCACAGGGTCCTGGTAAGAGGGAGGGAGGTCATCACGTGTGGTCACCTGTTACAACAGCCAGAGGAAACTCTCCTATAGGCTAAAGCCCACTTCACTGGAGACTCAAGAATGGCTACATCTTCTCAAAAGTCAAGAACTATTCTGGGGTCCAAACCAAACTAAAAAATATCTCCTTCCCTCCCGGACACCATACGTCTCTGGCGTTGAAGCAATCCACCCATCCAGAGCCTGCACCCAACTCAACACCCGTGCCTCGACCCACCACCAATGCTCCCAAACTGTCTTGTTTTGTGGTGAAACAAAAATGACTCGGGGCCTTTGTAAACCGACATGAACGCCCGTGGTGCTGCATCTGCACAAAGCACTGGAATAGGACGGGTGCCCGAGAGCACTGCACTCCTCCAGCGAAGCACGAACATAAGGAAGTTGAGGACTGCCATCTCTGCAGTAGGTGCCAGAACACTGAGTA